ATCGAGTCCCACATCGGGCTCCCTGCTCAGCAGGGAGTCTGCTTCTCCCTCTGACCCTCTTCCCTCTCGTGCTCTCTCTCTCTCATTCTCTCTCTCTCAAATAAATAAATAAAATCTTTAAAAAAAATAAAAATAAAAAATAAAAAAAATAAAAACTACAATTGACAACTAAGACTACTGGAAAATGTCTATTTAGGCATTTTTCCTTCTCTTTTTTTTTGTCTTTGCTCAGCTGTATTTTTCGTTTTCTACATACATATAAACTGTATAATTTAAAAAATACCCCGGGGGGGGCGCCTGGGTGGCTCAGTCGTTAAGCGTCTGCCTTCGGCTCGGGTCGTGATCCCAGGGTCCTGGGATCGAGCCCCGCATCGGGCTCCCTGCTCAGCAGGAAGCCTGCTTCTCCCTCTCCCCACGCCCCCTGCTTGTGTCCCCTCTCTCGCTGTGTCTCTCTCTATCAAATAAAATAAAATCTTTAAAAAATAAAAAAAATAAATAAAAATAAAAAATACCCCGGGGGCACCTGGGTGGCTCAGTCGTTAAAGCATCTGCCTTTGGCTCAGGTCATGAACCCAGGGTCCTGGGATAGAGCCCCACATCAGGCTCCCTGCTCCACGGGAAGCCTGCTTCTCCCTCTCCCACTCCCCCTGTTTGTGTTCCCTCTCTCACTGTGTCTCTGTCAAATAAATAAATAAAATCTTTAAAAAAAAAAACCCTGAAAGGAAGAAACTCTTTTAACAAATAAAACCCAGGTTCTTCAACAAATGGCACTGAAGCAAAGAGGGTGAGTGTAAGGCAGAACCAACAGAGATTAAAAGAAAACTCAGGAGACATACCAACCAAACCTAACACAAAGACCTCGTTTGGGAGAACCTGGCTGGCTTACAGGAGCATGCAAATCTTGATCTTGGGGTTGTGGGTTCGAGACCTACACTGGGGTTAGAGACTACTTAAGAAAAATAAAATCTTAAGGGGTGCCTGGGTGGCTCAACTGGTTAAGCATCTGACCCTTGGTATCCACTCAGGTCATGATCTCACAGTCATGTGATCAAGCCCTGCCACGGGCTCTGTGCACTCAGCGCAGAGACTGCTTCAGATTCTCTCTCCTTCCCACCCTCTCTGTCAAATAAATATAATCTTTAAAAAATAATAAATACATTCAAAAAAAAAAGAAAAAAAGAAAAGACCTTGTTTGGATTCTGACTGATTCTAAGAAAACAACTGAATAAAAAGATATTTTCTTGGGACACCTGGGTGGCTCAGTTGGTTAAGCATCTGCCTTTGGCTCAGGTCATGATCTGAGTCCTGGGATGGGTCCAGCATCAGGCTCCCAGCTCAGCAGGGAGCCTATCTCTCCCTCTGCCTGCCGTTCCCCCTGCTTGTGCTCTTTCTCTCTCTCTGAGAAATAAATAAAATCTAAATATACATATATGTGTATATATATATCTTTTTTTAAAAAAGATTTTATTATTTGAGAGAGCACAAGCGAGAGAGAGAGAGCGCACAAGCAGGGGGGTGGGGCAGAAGGAGAGAGGGAGCCGGAATCAGGGTTCGATCCCAGGACCCCAGGATCATGACCTGAACTGAAGGCAGATGCTTAATCGACTGAGCCACCCAGGCGCCCCTAAAAAGATATTTTCAATAAAAGACATAACAGGAGCGCCTGGGTGGCTCAGTCGGTTAAGCGTCCAACTTTTGATTTCAGCTCAGATCACATGATCTCAGGGTCATAAGATGGAGCTGCACAATGGAGCTGCATCCAGCTCGGTGCTGAACCTAGAACCTGCTTGAGATTCTCTCTCTCCCTCTCCCCCACCACCCCGCAAGCACACTCTCTCTCTCTAAAAAAAAATAAAAAGATAAAAGACGCTACAGATAAATTGGGCATTATAATAATTTAAGGAATTACTGTTCCTTTGTATGATAAAGATATATTTTTTAAAGATCCTCAGCTTTCATTTACTTGCAAAATAATGTTTGAGAACAGCAAAATGGATACATGGGAGTTTACTTAAAAAAAAAAAGTGTGGGGCGCCTGCATGGCTCAGTCCGTTAAGCATCTGCCTTCCACTCAGGTTATGCTCCCAGAGTCCTGTGATCGAGCCGCACATCAGGCTCCCCGCTCAGCGGGGTGTCTGCTTCTCCCTCTCTCTCTGCCCCTCCCCCTGCTCATGCTTGCTCTCTCTCATTCTCTCTCAAATAAATAAATAAAATCTTAAAAAAAAAGAAAGAGTGTAAAAGTGCTCTGTAACTCTAAAACCCTGTAGAAACATTAACTGTTAGTATTATTCACCCTAAAAGTTTCATTCAGGACAGCTCTTCTCATACACCGAATACTACTGGCTATGCTTGTGCCAGAAATCAGCATGTCTGGGTATAGAATTAAATATCCAAAATCTTCATCTATTATCCAAGTATCAGATAGGCAGTCTCCCTCCAAATGAATGATGTCCCCTGGCTCCACTGGTACAGAGCACCTACGAATAAAGCAAAGTATACATAGTTTAGAGTCCTACATTTAAACATATTAAGGAAGCCTCAAAAAGTAAATGAATATTTTATCTGAAGGAACAGTATTTGTAAATTTCTGGGTCTTTCAAAAAAAATTTAATACTAGGATGCAGTCTTTTGAATCAACTCCTAGTCACTCTATTCCTTTCTACCTTTGAAATATGCCTAGAATACTCGAGGGTCTTCCTTAAATACCAAAAAGGAAAACTGCTTAATGTTATCATCTACTGCAAAAGCTACCAAATCTTTAATAGTGTTAATACATAGCTCCAATTATGGATTAGGTTGTTTCAGTAATAATTTTCTCATTCTTAAGACTTCTAGCCTATCTACAGTTTAAGTCTTGAGGCATGAAGCCAAACCCAATGTGTTAATAAAATCATATTTATCATTTTTATCTAGACAAAGAGCCTAAATAGACAAAAATTAAGCCTCCACTTTCTTTGCATTTCCCCTTCATCCCTCACATACCATACTTTGCTTGAGTAGAGAAATCTAGGGTTTAAGAATGTTCGTATGGTGTAATTGATTTTGCTCTTAGTGAAAAGCTGCAATCTTAAAAAGTACTGGGAAATTTTGGAAGTAGTCATTTATAAGGCCCTTTGTAGTTTAATTTTCAAATGACAATAAAGACCAAATTCCAGAAAGAGGGGCTGGAGATGCTGGGATAACAAGCACAATTTTTACATGAAATTAATTCAGGTTCACATCTACTCCCTTTATTAACAATTAAATTACAGCAACATCCACACAAGCCTATGTGATGAGTTTTAAGATGGTACCCTTAAGCCAGATCAGTGTTCAAAGTCACACAAAAATTACCAGTCATTCCTAAGAATACACAGTTCTTTATTTTCTAGTGACTGGGAAGCAGTGATGATTAGGTGTTTTTCATGGGTTCCTTCTTCATTCTGTACAATATTGACTGCTAATACCAGGTACCGGTTATCCATTCCTTGGCTCAGAACTGTTTTAGAAAAGGAAGCTTCCACCTTCTTCTCAAATCTAAAACATATACAAACACAACTACTGTACCATGAAATAAGAAGATATCCAATTTCCTTTATCTACAAACCAACCTTCTCAATTTTCTAGGTTTGTTTCTTCTAGAAAGCTTATCATAATGACCATTAGCTAAATGTGTAAAAATTAAGGAAGGGCACAGTAGAATTCCTATGATAAAAACTTCCCAGAAGTAATGCCATGTAAAACATGCTTAATGATACGGATTTTTCCAAATACTGTGTAAGTTCTTAGGAGGAGCTCTGTGGGACACCCATGATAATGAGGATTAAGGATAAATTGAAAAATACTAAATAACAAATTCCTACCACTGGTGCAAACCTTCCCAAAGTACAAGCAAAAGGAAATGTCTTGGACACTATCCTTTTTGTAAATGAAAGGGATATTTGTTAGGGAAAAGCATAGTGTGGGTGGTTTGCTGAAGACCTACTGTGAGTCACAGTGTTATATTAATCTTTAGGCGTACTTAGAAATCATCTACTCCAAACTACTATTTAATGAAGAAAATCTTTCTATAAAATCTCAGTGAGAATCAACTAGCCCCTACCTCGCAGAGAAAAGCAAGCTTAATACCTGTCATGTTAGCTCATTCCTTCATAGAGTAACTCAGACATTTCTTATTTATAACGGGCAAGTCAACTTCACAATACTTTTATCCATTAATCCTAGCCACCTGAAAACTATGCAGAATTCTTTAATCGTTCTAGAAAACATTAAGTCCTTCATTAATCTTTCCAGTTTGACTGCAGTCTTTGTCACAGTACGACAGAGTCCAACGTCATTACCTCTCTAATTTTAACACCCAACCCTAGGCACTCTTACTTTGTAATCGCCTCATTCCCCTACTCCAGGAAGCCTCAGGCCATGAATTTCCCAAGGTCAGAGCTGGGATGCCTTAAGGATTTCCGCAAATGATAATGCTGATCAAAACCCAAAACGCAAAGATCCGTAAACAATAATTAGCATCATTATTATTAATTCAAAATAATTCCACACCATGATTGTGGGTCAGGTTACCCAGACCATTTAGTCCAAGTTGAGGGTAGAGAGCTCTCCTGGGACAAGATTCCCCAACTAAACCTTGAGAAGAGCATCTAGCAGTTAACAATTTCCCTTTATGAGGGCGTTTAAGTGGCTGGCACTCCCTGAATTCAGGCAAGTGATATGAAGAGAAAGAATGAACTGTTGGGTGAGCAGTCTTTGGGCTCTGGCCCGAGTGTGGCCCCAAAGAGAACACTACGAAGCAGACCCGAGGTCCGGAAACTCGTCGGGCGCCCGGAGCCCAGTCATTTAATCCCGAGCCCGGCTCCGCGGAGGCGTAGGTGCTGCCTCTCCCGCTCCTTTCTTTCAAATCTCCCGCCTGGCTCCCAGACCCTCCCTCCGCTCCGCTCACAGATCCGCCGGCCGCTCAGCCTCTTCCCAGAGACTCTTCTTCAGCAGCTCCAGTTCTTCCAGTTGTGCCATAGCAGGCGCGGACAACGCAAACTGTCGCCAGGTAAAATCAGGCAAACACAGCACCTCCGACGAGAAAAAGAAGCGCGAGTTTGTGAGGCGCCGCGCGCATGCGCCTTCCCGCTGTGGTCCCAAGGGACCTGCGCGAAGGGGCCCCACCCAGTCCCGCGGGTTCCACGAGAAGCCCTGGGTGGCGGTGTTCTTAACAGTCTTTGCTCCCTTGCTTTAGGGTTTGGGAAACAGGGAGTCTTCATAATCTGGCCCAGACTAAATGCTTCCGCAGTTTCTCTAGAAACGCCAACCTTTGCTCAACACACTCTTAGAACCAATTGCCCAAACCCAAGTGTCCCTGTTAGCTTGCAGAATTTTCCATTTTGGGGAGAAACAAACTCCCCTCCTTTTTTTAAGATTTTATTTATTTATTTTTTTGAGCGCGAGAGAGAGAGCACTGGCGGGGAGGGGGAGAGGGAGAAGCAGACTCCCGGCTGAGAAGGTGAGCCCCAAGCCGGCTGGATATCAGGACCCTGAGATCATGACCTGAGTGGAAGGCAAGCAGAGGCCTAACCAACTGAGGCACCCAGGTGCCCCTAACTTTTTGTTTTGTTTTGTTTTGTTTTTTGCTTTTTGTTTTGTTTTTAAGATTTCTTTATTTTAGAGAGAGAAAGAGCGCGCGCGAGCAGGAGCAGGGGGAGGGGCAGAGAGAGATTAGGGAGCCCCAGGTGGGGCTGAATCTCAACACCACCCAGGAGCCCTTACTTGTCTTTGTTTTGTGGAAAACTCATTGAGAAAATAGAAGCTGTGAGATAGGAACTTCCTCATCATGCCACAAGTAAATCTATAAAAGTACTAATATCTGTACTTGTCTTATAACCTATTTCCACTTTTTTCAACAGTGGACAAAGCAATCCTACTTGTACTCATTCTCGAGGGCATTGCTTCTTCAGCTGTGACATCACTGGGTTTAGAGATTACTTAAATTAAAAAAAAATTTTAAGGGGTGCCTGGGTGGCTCAGTCGGGTAAGCCTCTGCATTTGGCTGGTGTCGTGCCCAGAGTCAGGGCTCCTTGCTCAGCAGGGAGCCTGCTTCTTCTCTCCCTCCGCCCCTCTCTCTGTGGCTCTACCTGTTCTATCAAATAGAGAAAAGATTTTTGTAAAAAAAGATTTTATTTACTTATTTGTCAGAGACAGACAGAGCATAAATAGGGGGAGCGGCAGGCAGAGGGAGAAGCAGGATCCCCGCTGAGCAAGGAGCCCAATATGGGATTCCATCCCAGGACCCACGGGCCAACTAAAGGCAGAAGCTTAACCGACTGAGCCACCCAGGCGCCTCCCCCCCACCACCAAAAAATAATCTTTTTTTTTTAAGATTTTTTTTTATTTGACAGAGAGAGACACAGCGAGAAAGGGAACACAAGTAGGGGGAGTGGGAGAGGGAGAAGCAGGCCTCCCGCAGAGCAGGAAGCCCAATGCGGGGCTCCAGGACCCTGGGACCATGACCTGAGCCGAAGGCAGACGCTTAACGACTGAGCCACCCAGGTGCCCCCCAAAATAATAATCTTTAAAAAATAATGTACTAGGGAATATTTCTGAATGAAAGGTGTTAAAAATAATAAAATGAATGAAATGTGTTAAAAATAATAAAATGATCACCTCATAAAGCTATCATCCAATTTTATTATAATTTTTTAAGATTTTATTTTTTTATTTTATTTTTTTAAAGATTTTATTTATTTGAGAGAGAGAATGAGAGATAGAGAGCACGAGAGGGAAGAGGGTCAGAGGGTCAGAGGGAGAAGCAGACTCCCTGCTGAGCAGGGAGCCCGATGTGGGACTCAATCCTGAGACTCCAGGATCATGACCTGAGCCGAAGGCAGTCGCCCAACCAACTGAGCCACCCAGGCGCCCTAAGATTTTATTTTTTAAGTAATCTCTAAACCCAACATGAGGCTCAAACTCACAACCCCAGGGTCAAGAGTCACATGCTTGTCTGACTGAGCCAGACAGGCGCCCCCATCATCCAATTTTATTTATTTATTTATAAGATTTTATTTATTTATTTGTCAGAGAGAGAGCACAAGCAGGGGCTGCAGGCAGAGGGAGAAGCAGGCTCCCCGCAGAGCAGGGAGCCTGGCGCAGGACTCGATCCCAGGACCCTGGGATCATGACCCAAGCCCAAGGCAGACGCTTAACCAACTGAGCCACCCAGCTATCCCCCATCATCCAATTTTAAAATAATCTTTATCAAAAGTTATCTTTCGGAGCGGGCGCCTGGGTGGCTCAGTCTGTTAAGTGTCTACCTTCAGCTTAGGTCATGATCCCTGCGTCCTGGGATCCAGTACCGCCTTGGGCTCCTTGCTTATCCAGAAGCTTGCTTCTCCCTCTGTCTGTCGCTCCCCCTGCTTGTGCTCTGTCTTTCTCTTTCTCTGACAAATAAAATCTTTTTAAAAAACAAATAATAAAAAAGTTGTCTTTTACATTCATGTTAAGTCATCCAAAAATTATGAGAAATTTCTTGAAAAAAAATGAAAAAGACTTGCCCGTAATAGATACAGATTTTCTACCTGTGACACCACACTCAGCTGGTTTTCCTCCAACCTCACAGGCCTTCCTCAATCTCCTTTACTGTCTCTTCATTTTCTGCCCAATCTCTGACTGTTGAAAGTTCTCAGAGGTCAGTTCTGAACAAATTTCTCTATCTACCAGCTCCCTAGGTTATTTCATCTATTCTCATGGCTTTAAATACCATCTCTATCCTGCCAGTTCTCAAATTCATATGTATAGACAGGGCTTTTCCTCTGAATTCAAAAATCCAACTACATACTTGATAGCTACACTTAGAAATATTTGGGGATGGGGGGAGCCTGGGTGGCTCAGTCATCAAGCATCTGCCTTTGGCTCAGGTCATGATCCCGGGGTCCTGGGATCGAGCCCTGTATCGGGCTTTCTCCTCTGCAGGAAGCCTGCTTCTCCCTCTCACATTCCCCCTGCTTGTGTTCCCTCTCTCGCTGTGTCTCTCTGTCAAATAAATAAAAACCTTAAAAAAAAAAAAAAGAAATATTTGGGGATGGGGGGAAGTCTTTCATTATAACATGGCCAAAATGGAATTTTTAATTTTCTTGACAGACCTATTATTCTTCCCAGTAAGAGCACTATCCACCCAGAAGATAAAGCGAGAAACCCAGAAGTTGTCCTGATTCCTTTCTGTTACTACCCACATCCAGTCCATAGGCAGACCCCATAGATTCACCCTTTAAAACTATCTTAAATCTCTTCATGCCTTTCCACCTCCAAGGTCACTACCCGATCATTATCTCTAACGTAAAAAACTGCAGCACACTCTTAAATGTGCTTCCACACTTGTCTCCCTGCAATTCAGTCCCTTTTCCCAATATTTTATCATGAAAACTTTCAAATGTACAGAATTATATAAGAGGATTATATAATGAGCACCCATATAGTTACCACCTAGATTTTATAATTAACATTTTGCTATATTTGATTTATCACATGTATATCTATCCATCCCTCTATACATCCATGAACTCAAGGGTTTTTTTTTTAATGCATTAACAAATAGCAGGCATCAGCGCATTTCCTCCGTAAACACTTTAGCATGTATATCATTAGCTACAGTTCAATATTTCTTTATGGTACTTTTTATTTTATTTTATTTTTTTAAAGATTTTATTTATTTGATAGACACAGTGAGAGAGGGAACACGAGCAGGGGGAGTGAGAGAGGGAGAGAAGCGGGCTTCCCGCAGAGCAGGGAGCCCGAGGCGGGGCTCGATCCCAGGACCCTGGGATCATGACCTGAGCCGAAAGCAGACGCACAACGACTGAGCCACCCAGGCGCCCTGAAAATATTTTATATTTTTCATGCTATTATAAATTAAATTGATTTTTTCTTGTGTTCTTTTACTTAAAGATTTTATTTTATTATTTTCTAAAGGTTTTATTTTAAGTAATCTCTATACCCAAAAGGGGCTCAAACTTAAAACCCCAAGATTAAGAGTCACATGCTCTACCGACTGAGTCACCCAGGCACCCCCAAAGATTTTTTTTTTAAGATTTTATTTATTTGACAGAGAGAGACACAGCGAGAGAGGCAACACGAACAGGGGGAGTGGGAGAGGGAGAAGCAGGCTCCCCACGGAGCAAGGAGCCTGATGCGGGGCTCGATCCCAGACCCTGGGAACATGACCCGAGCCGAAGTCAGATGCTCAACGACTGAGCCACCCAGGCGCCCCCCAAAGATTTTTTTTTAAGATTTATTTATTTATTTGAGAGAGAGAGAGAGCACAAGTGGGAGGGGCACAGGGAGGGACAGAGAATCCTCAAGCAGACACCAAGCTGAGCACAGAGTCCGATGTGGGGCTGGATCTCACAACCCTGAGATCACAACCTGAGCCAAAACCGAGAGTCAGACATTTAACTGACTGCACCACCCAGGTGCCCCTAAAGATTTTATTTTTTTAAGTAATCTCTATGCCCAATGTGGGGCTCTAACTCAAAACCCACACAAGACTTGCATGCTCCACTGATTGAGCCAGCCAGCCACCCCTGAATTTTTTTTTTAAGGAAGCTCTATGCCCAGCCAGCCAGGTACCCCTAAATGAAATTGCTTTTAAATTGTTTTCCAGGGGTGCTTGGTTGTCTCAGTCCATAGGGCATGCGACTCTTGATCTCAGGGTGGTGAGTTCGAGTCCCACCTTGTGTGTAGAGATTACTTAAAATCTTTATAAAAATAATAAATTGTTTTCCAATTGCTTCCTGATAGTGCATAAAAGTTTACATTTTTAGGGGCACCTGGGTGGCCCAGGCATGAGACTCTTGATCTTGTGGTTGTGAGTTCAAGCCCCACATTGGATGTAAAGATTACTTAAAAATAAAATCTTTGACCAGGGGGGTGGTGGGGGGCGGGGGGCGGTTACAAATAAAAATGAAAATAAAATCTTTTTTTTTTAAGATTGTATTTATTTGTCAGAGAGAAAGAGGGAGAGAGAGAACAAG